CCGCGGCATGTGCGCGGCCCAGCGGGGGGGCCAGGGACGCAATGAAATGAGAAGAGGCGCCCTGAAATCTGGGAAAATATCATGGCCCCCGCCATGATATCCACCCCCCCCCTTAGTCATCACCCCCCTCTTTGCCGCCCCCGACCCCAGGGGAGTGGACGAGGGGTTCGGGGCCCACGTCTTGAGCCCATCGGGCCGCCGGACAGACGCCCGGCAGAGATCGGGAGGGGGGGGGGGAAGGGCCGGGCCCACGGGAGACGCAGGACACGGCGTCGGGCAGACGCTCGCCGGAGAGGAAAGGAGGGTCGGAGGGCGGGGAGGGAGGGAGGGCGCGGAGGGAGGAGGAGGGGGGGGCAGGGGAGAAGAAAGAGGGAGGAGGACGAAGCGGCGGGGGACGAGGGGGAGGAGGGCGCGGAGGCAGGAGGAGAGGGGAGGAGCAGCGGGAGGAGGAAGGAGCAGGCGGCAGGAGACGCCAGAGCGCAAGGCAAGCCAGCTGGCCAGGTCGAGCGAGCCTGCGGGCCCCGTCCATCCCCAGCCTCCCTCCCATGACATGTCGGGGGGTGCTGAAGGTACCCCTGGCCCGAGGTGCCCCCAGCTTTGTGCTCCATTTCGGCCTCGGGGGCCCTGCGGGCCTCGTGAGGGGTGCTCTGGAGGCCGTGGGGGCCTGCCTGGAAATCCTGGGGGCACCTCGGGCCAGAGGCACTTCCAGCAACATCCGAACGTGAGAATCCATGGTGGCGACGCAGGGAATCCACAGGAAGCCTTCGGGAATCCAAAGAGGAGTCCTTAGGAAAGCCATGGGAGCCCTGAGGAAATCCACGGCGTTCCCTGGGGCATCTGTAGGGAGTCCATCAGAGATGCATTGGATTCCTTTGGAAATTTTGGGACAGGAGCGGGTACCCACTGAGCGAACGCTGGCGCTCGCGCGCGACACCCGCTTGCGACGATCCGGCGAAGGACACAACGCTGGCCACGAGTGGGCAGAGGAGCGGGACGTCAGACAATGCTTGCGCGGCGCTGCGAGATCACCATTACGCCCTCCCTCGCGCGGCCGAGCATCCGAGGAGCGCGGCAGAGACGAGGCATGGGATGCACCGCTCCAACGCTGCTGCTGTCACCAGGACGTGTGCGGTGCTTCGGCCGAGGACAGAATTTCGCCGGTTCGCGTGCGGGCCGGCCCCCCAAACGACTTGGCGAGAGAACGTGCGGGCCGCGCGGAAGCGGGGGCCCCGCAATCGGGCGAGGTCTGTGCGGCGCCATAGCGAGAGCGACAGTTTCCTTTTCGCTCGCGCGTCGACGAATGAGAAGGCGAAAACCCACCCCCACCCCCAGTCCCGACCCCATCCCCGAACCCGCGATTCAAGGAGTCGGGACTGGGGGTGGGGGTGGGTTTTCGGGGTCCAGGAGTGGAGAAATTTCACCCCCACCCCCAGTCCCGACACCTTGAATCGCCGGCTCGGGGATGGGCGTCGGGACTGGGGGTGGGGGTGGGTTTTCGCCTCCCGAACGAATCTGCGGGCAGAAGATGAGCGCCGCGCAGAAGCGGGAAGCTCAACTCCCAGGGCAAAGGAGCGCGGCGCCACGGCGGGAGCCACATCTCGCCCTCGCGCGCGCGCGAGCTGCGCCACGTCTCCTCCCCGCCACGCCTTTCGCAGCACCGGCCGACGGAACATTACACGTCATGAAAGGGGAGACGTCGTCGGCTGCGTGCCAGTTCTTCAGGGCGGGAAAGGCCCGGAGTGAGTCGCCGTCGGTCTGCTACGTGGCAGAGTGGGAGAATAGACTGATATGGAGTTCGGCTATACGCAAGAGTGACCCTGGGTAAGAGTGACCTTTGGTGCGCGACTTTTTGGGGGTCGCGGTGGGACCAAACCTGGGTGCGCAAGCAGCTGCTACTGCTTCGTTTTCAGCCATCTGGGTACCCATCCGTGCCCGCACCAAAGGTCACTCCGGCGAAAGGTCACTCCTACGTCTAGTCGAGGAGTTCCGACGACCCAGCGAAAACGAGCGGCAGGGGTCCAGGGGAGGAGGGGGGAAAGAGAAGCGAGGGGGGAGAGCCAGCAGCCGCCGAATGATCCCGACAACCGCTGCGCGTGCTGCTACCTTGGGGGCGCGACCCTGGGAAAGGACACAGACGGAACGTTAGATGCTCATTCTGGGGACCTTCCTGGAGCCACTCGCTCCACTCGTGCGTCGAAGCTGCGTCGAACCTGAGTCGAACCTGAGTCGAACATGAGTCGAACCTGAGTCGAATCTGAGTCGAACCTGAGTCGAACCTGAGTCGAAGTTGAGTTGAACCTGAGTCGAACAGATCCATTAGGTGGCCCCCAGGAAGGTCCCCAAAACGAGCATCGAAGGAACGGGAAACCCGAATACTTGATCTGAGCTTGGGTGACGACGTTGAGATAAAAGGGGACAGCGAGGGAGGACCGTGTCTGACCACGCCGCTGGCCAGTATCAGACGACTCCAACCTACGCGGCGGCGTCAAGAACACACTGGCAAAACGGCCCGTGCATCAGCGGCACAGGCTACAGCAGCCTGTGCTCGCTGAAGGCTCCGAGACACCCGAAACTGAACCAGGTGGGATGACACTGGCGCACAAAATTGTTAATCAAACTGTCCACTGAACTGTCCACTGCATGAATGGGACAGATGAGCATCTGCAGTATGTTCTGCAACTTGATACAGCACTATGCTGTTTCTAACATTGCCCGAGGCATACTGAGCTACACAATATCAGACAGAAATGCGAATCTCCCCATCGGTGAAGGACACTTAGGACCTAGAGCCGTCAAGGGCCAATTTGAAGTTCAACAAGTCGCACAATGTTTCATCATTACTCGGTGGCACTACTTGTAAGTCTCACCCGCTGCGGCGCCGCGCCACCAGCTTCCTGGGAGCACTGCGGCAACTACACATGACATCCAGGCTAACAACTCATGTGCCAGCACAGGTTGAGCAATGCAGCAATGCTGCGGGAGATGCAGGAAAAGAACAACAACATCATGTTGCCTGAAATGATGCGCAAACTCAATTACACGTTGGAACTCATATCTGTCCAAGCTCCTGTGTCTGGCACATCAACAAGGAGCATACTCGCCTCGCAAGTCAGCGCCCCGTCAGCTTCTGTTAGCAGCGCGTGTTTGACGATATACTGAGGTGCCAAACCTAACACCACTGACAAACTAATTATCCGCCATCGCGCCGGCATCACGGCAGAATTGCGTCAATCATGCTGTAGTTTTCAAGTGAGGGCTGCTTCTTGTGAGAAATAGTCGAGGCCCCCGAACCAACGACAGTCGCCTCCGCGAGAGCCCCAAAAGAACGCCCGCCCCTGCCTCGCCCGTATTGCACCCGCAGCTGGAAGCAGATGGCCCATGGCTAAGGGCCGGGATGGTGCGAAGGGCAAGGATGCAAGGGCACCCTTGGAAAGTTACCCATTCTAATCATGCGGTATGACTGTACGGGGACGCTGGTCTCTCAAGGGAAATCTCTTTAAGAACGCTTCCTGCTCCAGCCCCCTTCCCTCCCTCTCGAAAAGGACATTTTGGATTCCCCTTAGCGACAAACAGCTCCTCCCCACTCAACAGGCAAATCATGCGCCTCCCCACCATCCCTGTCGAAAACAATACAACAGAAAGCGCGTGGCGGCAACATCTGGATCATGAGATGGCACCCCGCGATGGCCGCGTGTGGAATTTCGACAGGATGGCGGACGGGGCAGGTCATGTTTGTTCGCTGTGCGCTGGCCCACTTCCCACATCAAGCATCACTGCAAACTGACTGCGTGCGCACACGCCGCGTACAATGCTGACCACCCCGCCACCGCTTCGCGTTGGTTTTCGACAGGGATGGTCGGGTGGTCGTCCTATTGCCCGACGTGTGCTGTCACGTGCCCTGGGGCACCTGTCGCCACCTGGCGCGATCTGAGAACGTCGCGCACCTGGCGCGGCTGGAGCATGTGGCATACTTGGCGCGAGCGGCGCATCTGGCAAGCCAGGCGCGCCTTACAGGCTTGGCCCCCTTGGTCGCCCGGTACGCGGTGATGCACCTGGCACGCCTAGCGCTCCTCCAGGGCGCCGCGCCCCTGGCTCCCGATGGCTGTCCGTTCCGTGGCGGCCCCTGCCTGCGCTGAATCTCAGTTGCAACTTAGATGGTCGGAGGGCGGGTGGAGGAGGAGGAGGAGGAGAAGGAGAAGGAGGAGGAGGCTTCAGCCCTCCCCCAGCCCTCTCCCCTGGGTCTGGGAGAGGGGGATGGGGAGGGGGCGAGGTATCAGAGGGCCCCACCTTGCCAAAGGTGGCTCTCAGATGGACCCAGCTATAGCCCAAGGTGGTGTCCGAGGTCGTACAAGATAGCCGAGGATCGCCAAGATCGTACAGATAGCCAAGATAGCCCAAGGTGATGTCCAAGATCGTGCAAGATGGCTTCCAGAATGCATCCAAGCGCGGCTTCCAGACAATCCGAAGACTGCTTCAAGTGGGCACAGAACCTTCCAAGGATACCTCACGAGAGGCACCCATCATTCGAATACTATAGTTAAACCTACGTTTCGCTAGAAGCTCCGCCATATCGTCCTTTTCGCTTCCGATGGGCTTGGGAGGCCTCAAGAGCGCCCAAGAAAAAACACGAGGGTCCAAGACAGCCACGACGGCCCCGAGTGCTCAAGACCGTCCCAAGGAGACTACGAGAGGTTATGTTTCGTGCCATGACTCAGGGAGAGGGCTCGAAAAGATGCAACATTGAATTATAGGCATGGGCTTACGCATTCTACTCAGAGTTACGCAAGCCCCAGGGGCCTCCTGCCTCATCCACCAACTTCGTATCCGCATTCTCCTCCTCCGACGGCAAGATCTGCAGTTCCACACCTGTGTATGCTCAGGCTGATCCCGACCCTTGGCTTAATGGCTGCCTCACTAGATGGGCTGCCGGAGATAACGCAAAGCGTCAAGAACATGCATTGTGATCATGGCACGGCCCACGGGTCAACAATGCCCGACGATCACCTGCACAATAGTGCCGTAAAATCGTCCAGGTTCAGGCTGCGGGCTCTGTCGACAGGCATTGACTCAGCAATCGCCTGGAACTCTGCGCCGAGAGCGCCGGACAGGTTCCGGTGGTGCAGGGCGCACTTCACGTCCTGGGGGGAGATCTCCCCGTCGCCGTCCCAGTCGAGGACGTCGAAGGCGTATCGGCACAGCCCCTCGCCCTGGCACTTGCTCCTTTGAGAACCCCAAAATTAGGATTCCACTTCCTTAACCTTTCCTGGAGTGCGTCCTCCCAGGAGGCTTTAAACGAAAACAAAGAAGGAACGCTAGCGGTATCGGCGCCTTCTCCTACCCTGAGCTCCTGTCGACGGCGGCGGCCAAGAACTCCGTGTACTCGACGGCGCCGTTGCCGTTGACGTCCATGCCCTCCAAGGTCTTTCGAAGCTCCTACATGGCCGTGCCGTGCACGGCGACAACAAAACTGAACACCGATCGAACCGACAACGAAACCGAAACAGACCGAAATCGACAGGCCGCAAGAATCCTAGAAGGGCACAGCGACGCGGCAACGACATTCATGATAACCGAACCGAGCCGACCGAACGCAACCTACTGCGACGCAGCCGAACCGACTGAACCGCAAACAACAACGTCGGCGAAGGGTAGGACACAACGGCAGCTCAGAATCGATCCCCGGACCCCTTCGAGAGTCCAAAAAGAATCCATTGCCCCAGCTGCGTCCAGCCGTGGCGACGAGGGTGTCCCCCGAAGGCCAACCACCGCTGTCTCGACTGCCGGGATCCCTGCCAGGGCCCAAACGTACAAGTTGTCCGAGCTGCGGCCAGCCGTGGCGACGAGGAGCCCTCCCGAAAGCCAACGGTAGGCGGTGCGCCCGGCGGGGAAGTGAGGAGGGGCGGGCCTTTTGAGAAGGCTCGCGAAGTTCCCTGGCCTTCTGAGCAATTGTCTAAGCCCTCCCCGTAGACACAGAAAACTTCTCAGAAGGCGCGGGGGCTTCTGAGAAGTCCCGCCGCCTTCTGGGAAGGCCTTCTCCTTCTCACTTCACCCCCTCGCTCGCCGCCGAAACTGTAGAAACAACGAAAGCATCCGTAAACATATGTGTTCGGACGTCCTCGCGGATTTTCTTGGATCGGCGCTGCGCCCCCTCCCTGGAGCGCCCAGCGCGGCTCCAAGAACTCTGGGCGGGCCTCTGCATGAGAGATGATGCTTGCTACTCGAAATTACCGTTCCCATGCACGCGATGGTTTTTCTACCCTGGGATCCTGGCGTTGCAACTTGTTCGCAATGGGCGTTTTCGCTCCAAGCTGGGCCCGGGGACCCTCAAAGATCGATCAGGCTCGAACATGACGCCTGAATCTGGGGTCCAGGGCTCCGGTCGTGATTTTTTGCGATGCTGCAATTGTTTGGCAATGTCGAATCCCAGGTTCTACGAGGTCCCCAGGGCCGTTGAATCGTTCTCTGAAAGGTCCCAGGGCCGGCGAGGGCCCCCGCAAGCCGAAAACTTCACAAAACCGTCCGTCGTGGCCACGACGTGAGCATGCTGCTACACCCCTGACCTCTCCCAGGGGGCGGTCTGACCAGAATTTCGACGCGAATCCAGCAGTGGGAGGCCCACAAAAGCCAAAACGAGGCGAGGGTAGCGGTATCGGTACAGATTCTTCCTCTGATCTCCTCCTCCGAGAGCTCGAAGCCGCTCAGCCGGATGCCCTCCCGCAGCTCGCGTGGCGACAGCCGCCCGTCCCCGTCCGCGTCCAGCGCCACGAACGCGCTTCGGAGGGCACCCACCTCGGCGTCGTCGAGTAGGCCAGCGACGATGTGGAGCACCGCCTTAAAGAACGCGTCCTTCAGAGGAGGCAAACTCGACGGCCATGTGAATGGCAGTCATTTTCTGGTGTCCGACGTATGCTCGACGCGGATTCGATGCGGATTCGATATGGATTCGGCACGGATTCGACGTGGGTTTCGACGTGGGTGCGACTCGGATTCGACGCGGATAGCGGTGACGTGGGACACAGAACGTCACCCGAATATACAACACGAGGTTGCGCTGACCCTCTGCATTAAAACCCCTTTCCAGCCCTCAAGAGACATGCTAAACGCAGGGGGTCGGCCCGAGGCCAACGTTTGGAAAGAATCAACGCGGAGGTGTTGCTCGATGTTCGGCCTCTGGGGGCCCTCGCCGGGCCGGGGGAGTATCAAACAATGGCTCGGGATGAGAAACCCGCCCTGGGGAAGTGGTCTAGACCTCTCGGTGTCCAGGCAACTTCTGGGAGGAGGCAACTTCCCGGAAGCCTTCGATAAGAGACAACTTCGGGGAAGCCTTCGCAAGAACGATTTGAGAGTGACCAAGCCCGATCGAAGGGCCACTAAGCCAGCTAATGCAAGATGAAGCGCGGAGTCAAGCGGGATGGAGCCAGATCGCTCTGGATCAAGCCAAGCTGAGCGTGACTGTGCCGGATTCGGCCGTTCTTTCGACCACGGGTATACCAGCGCCGATGCTGAAGTTGACCTCCCAGGAATTACAACCTAGCCCTCGAGAATGCGTCCTGCGACCCGAACTTGCGCAAATTCGCCACGACGCCGCAAGGGAGGCTGGCCGCTTCCGGGCTGGCCTGGGACGCCAGCCACGCGTGCGAGAGGGCCTGCGCCGCCGTCGGCCTGCTCTCGGGGTCCCTGCAGAGCAGGCTCGACACGAACAGCTTGGTCTGCGCAGAGGCCTTTTTCCAGTGCGGGGGCCAGAACGAGACGCGCCCCTCCGCGACTTTGTCGAGCACGCTCTGCGTAGTGTGGCCCCGAAACGGCAGGTGCCCGCACGCGAGCACGTAGGCCGTTGCACCCAGACTCCATATGTCAACTTTCGAGTCGTAGCCCTTCCCATTCAGCACTTCGGGCGCCACGTAGACGGGTGACCCCACCATCGTCTTCAGCTTATCACCGACTGCAAACTTGCGAGCGAGGCCGAAATCGATAATCTTCACCGCGTTGTCGGACGCAGGCGCGTCGCTCGAAAAGAGTAGGTTATCTGGCTTCAGGTCTCTGTGGACAATTGAGTGCGTGTGCAGATAGAGCGTGCCTCGCAGAATCTGCTGGAGCACCAGGGCCGTTTTCTGCTCTGAGAATGGCTTACCCTCGGTCATGCAGTGTGACAGTAGCTGCCCACCCTTGCACAATTCCACCACTAAATATGTACATCTACGATCCTGGAACGACTCCATCAACTTTACAACATTGGGATGGTCAATCGATCTCATGACTGCGACCTCTCGATTGCAGCGCCTGGACTGCGTTTTGAAACGGGTCTGGAGGCACTTCACAGCGCACTCCTTTCCGGAAGCTCGCTGAGTCGCGCGGTACACTGTTCCATACGATCCCTGGCCGATCTTATCCCCTGGTGGAGAAAGAAACAAGAGCATAAACACTATCTTACACCCTGCGAAATGCTTAAGAAATCATGGGTTGAGAAATTCATAGTCTCAGAACTGTAATACAAACCCAACATGTCTATTAAAATCTTAAGATTTACATTGAAACGTTAAGAATAATCGAGACTCTGGCCGAAAACTTATGTTTTCTTAAGCATCGCCTGAGGTGTATGACGGTCCGCGCGCATGCCTTGGAACTGTGCTGAACCCCTCCTCCCTGGCGCGCGGGGCGCGCCCGGGGGCGGCGCCGGAAGCGCCGCGAGGAGGCTCCCGCGCAGATCCTGGGAGTCCGCGCGGAGCGCCGAAAGGTGATGGGGGGAAACCAACATGACTAATGCGGGATGACGATTAATAAAAAATGAAGGGGGAACGATTAAACAAAATAGTTTTCTGTTATTTCTGCAGTTTTTCTCACTGGCGGAGAACGATTAAAGAAAATAGTTTTCCAGCCTGCAGCCGGTTTTTTCTAATCGTCATCCTGGGCGCCGCCGCGTGAACACGACCCCTGGTCATTTATTAATCGTCATCCTCCATTACCTACCAGACCACCCCAACCCAACCCGAAGACCCGAATTTCGGGTTGGGGGGGGGGGTAAGGGATCCACATGTGTTTTTTCGATGTTCCCCGACCCCCCCCCCACTGGAAATCGAGGGTAAGTCTGAGCCTTCGGGTTGGGTTGGGGTGTTTTGGTGGGTGGTGACAACAGGCACCGATACCGCTACTACCCAGACCTCTCCCAAGGTGCGTTCTGACAAGAATTTCGAGGCGAATCCAGCGGTAGCGACAAGGGCCTCCCAGGAGGGCCAAAACGAAGAAAACGAGGCAAGGGTAGCGGTATGGTATGGGTACCTTTTCCTCCACTGGATTATGTTTATGCAATGTTGTGTTCTTCGACCTAGGTCGTAAAACTTGTGGACGCTGAGGTGCTTGATGTTGATCTGGTGGTGCTTCTCGACGGTGCTGGTTCCGTGGCCGCGCCCCTTGACTGCCTTCTGCTCCGTGAGGCTGGAGTTGCAGACGCAGCCACACGCGCCCATCGCCGCTTCCTCTGTACGTACGTCCGGTGGACGCTGGAGCGAAAAACGAACAGGGCCTCAACGGCTTGAACCACAAACGGCTTGAGTGGTGGACGCAATCCGAGCGGCCGAGAAGAATACGCGAACGCCTGGTACGACTTGGAAGCGGCTCGGGGGTCCGAGACGGATGGGCCCCGAGACAATCTGCAACTGGAAATGAAGCCAAATCCATTCAAAATCGGTCTGGGGTCCATCTGGTGCAATTGTCCACCCTTGATCCATTTTCGACAGTCCCGGGCCCAAACATCGGGAGCGGCCAAGCGGGGGGTGTCCAAGAGGGGGGGGGGTGCAAATCATGACCGGCGGCATGTGCGCGGCCCAGCGGGGGGGCCTGGGACGTAATGAAATGAGAAGGGGCGCCATGAATTCTGGGGAGATACCATGGCCCCCGCCATGATATCCCCCCCCCCTAGTCATCACCCCCCTCTTTGCCGCCCGCAACAGAAACTGCCTTGGAGGAGGTGGAGGAGGAGGAGGAGGAGGAGGAGCAGCAGGAGGAGGAGGAGGGAAAAGGAAGGGGACATGCCTCCTCGAGCCCGAAACACCTCGGACCTCGCCCCACCTGCTATAGGCCACCGCGGGCCCCCCGCTGGCTCCGGCGAGGGGCCAATTCTCCACCACCGCTGCCAATAGGCAGGACGGGGGGGGGGATAGAGGCTGGGGAGGTCCTCCTCCTCCTCCTCCTCCTCCTCCTCCTCCTCCTCCTCTCCTCCTCCCTCCTCCTCCTCCTCCTCCTGCTCCTCCTCCTCCTCCTCCTCCTCCTCCTCCTCCTCCTCCTCCTCCTCCACCTCCACCTCCACCTCCACCTCCTCCTCCACCTCCTTTTCCCTCGCGTACCCATGGCAGTGGTGGAGAATCAGCCCACCACCCAAGGTCCGACAGTCTGCAGAGGAGGCAGCCCGATGCCCCTGGCGCCCCCGCCCGGAGAGGGACACCTCCGCGGCCCGAGCCGCGGAGCGCCCCTGAGGGCGACCCGGGGTGCAGAGCCCCTCCCCCAGGTCAAGGTCGGAGGCGACGAACGGAGCGAACAGCCTAGTTGGGGGGAGAATAAGACGCCGTGCACGTCAGAGGTGCACGGGCAGGAAGACTGGCGCCGACCGCGGCGGCAGCCGAGCGCCGTGAGACACTTCGAGCAACCCCTCGGCCCGTCGTCGCCGACGCTGTGGACTGACAGGGCGTGCCCGACAGCTTGCGCATGCACGTCACCCTCGCCAGGAGGCACCCCGAGGGGGGGGGGGAGCAGCGCAGCCAAAACTCATGTAGTGAGGATGCGCGCTGAGGAGGCGAGCCCCTTGGACGCCCCCATCGAGGCTCTTCGAGCGGGGCTGGCCATCGAAGGGGGTTCTGAGGGATGGACCCAGGAGGCACGGATGCCAGGGTACCCTTGGGAAGGTTACCTTGGGGGGCGGAAAGATACGGATACGTGTTGTCCACGGACCTCTCTTGGGGTGCGTTCTGACCAGAATTTCGAGGCGAATCCAGCGGTGACAACGAGGATTCCCCAGGAGGACCAGGAAAGGCCGAAAACGAAGGGGGACAACACGTATCCGTATCTTTTTCTCCCCCGAGTTACCCATCCTTCTCATCGGTTTCGACTGCAGGGGCGAAGAGCCAAGGGGGGGGAGCAACACCTGTATTCCGGGGCGCCGCTGGCCCTCGCCTCCAGCGATAGGCTCCAGGAGGCACGCGCGCAGTGCCCGCCCCTGCCCTGGCCGCTCGCCCGCCACATCGCCCCCGGCGAGTTGGGGAGGTGTGCGGCGCGCGGCTGACTCCTATCATGGCGGCGCGGCCCCCGGACCCCCAACGGCGCAGATAGTAGATTTGCTTCACGGCGTGCTGGCGGCGCGCAGAGGGGGGGTGGGGGGGAGGGGGAAGGCTTCTTAGAGCTCAGAGGGAGGCTGCTTCTCAGAAGGCGCCGGCCCTGCATCAAAAAGGTAAGGCCCGCGCCTTCTAAGAGGCAGCCCCCTCCTCAGAAGCCGTTCTCCCTCCCCATAACCCCACTCTGCCCGTGACTGATGCTCACAACGTAGACACCCGGAGGTCACGACCCATTGCCCGAGGCCTGGCTTTTCGCCCTGCGCCGCGTTTTCAAAGTCCCGGGCCCCCATGGCGCCAGAGAGTAATCACAGAAACAACCTGCCCGCGTGATGGCTTACTACGCGAGTAGAGGAACACATAACTGCATAACCCTAATTTCACGGAGGTCCGCGCGGACGTCTTTGATCGGCGCTTGACCCCCCTCCCTCTCGCGCGCAGCGCGCCAAGGGGCGGCACTGGAGGCGCCGGCAAGGGGCACCAGCGCCGATCCAAGAAATCCGCGCGGACCTCAGAGAAATCATGCTTATGAAATGTGTTATTCGTCGACAGCCGTCGTGTTTTTTTCTCGACGCGAGGCGATCTGGAGCCCCTGACGTTCATCAAAAAGCGGGTAGTCATAAACAACTTGCCACCATTAAAAAGTGCCATATGGAACCTGACCGTCTGTTGTGACACTCGGCTACCATAGACAAATAACAAGCTTGTCAAGACAACTGGTAGTCACACGAAAGCAGCCACGCGATGTTCTGCGACGACCATTTGTCATACTGGCGAACGTGTGATCGTTCTGTATGATTACCAACTCACCGCCTGAACCGTGCGATCCTCGACGCTGGGGGTCCCCACAGGCCGCCAGGGGCTGGCAGCGGGCCCCTGGGAGGCCCGATGGAGGCCCAAGAGAAGCAGCAGGAACGGCAGCAGGGCCACAACGTCCACGATCATCGACCCTCGAAGGTCGACGACGACGACGACGATAGACTTTGGGAGGTCCGCGCCACAACACTGCCATCGTCGACTCTTGATTGGGCGCCCGAGTTATCCGGAGTAACTCGGGTCCGGGGTAACTCGGGCTTGGATTCCCGAAAAAAGAACCCGAGTTAGCCCTGACATGAGTTACGCCTGATGATGTGGGGCTCTGGACGCCCGAGTTATCCGGGGCAACTCGGGCCCGGGGTAACTCGGGTTCGGATTCCCGACGACGGTTTCGGAGCTCCGCGCAGACCTCTTGGACCGGCGCGTGGGCCTTCCTGGCGGGGTCTCCGGCGCCGCCCCACCCTACGCCCCAGGGAGGAGGACCCAGCGCTGGTGCAAACGATTCTCCTTCCGTCATCCTCCCTCGAGGGTCTCCCGGGACCTCCGAGGGGAAGGGGCCCAGGGACGCACAATAAATACGAATCCTGGGATTCCCACTTGTGAATTTTCTGATGTTATGTCTTCCCCCCCACTCGGCATACGTATGTTCCAATTTATCATGGAAGTCGACGATTAGTTGTGTCTATGTGTGTGTGTGTTTCCCCTCCTTTCGAGGGCCTGGACAGACGCGAGAGCGTTCAAGAACACACCTCCTCCGTCTCCTCCTCCTCTTTCGGGAGCCTCCCTTTTCCTCTTCCTCGAGCCTGCCGCCTCCTCTCCCATGCCCCCTGAAATCTCTCCCTCTCTCTCTCTCTCTCTTTCTGTCTTTGTCTTTCTTCGCCCCCTCTGGCAAGTCCTCCTCGTCCCCTCTCCTTCCTGGCCGCGCATAGGGGGGTAGGGGGAGAGGGGAAAGCTTCTTAGAATGAGGCTGCTCCTTAGAAGGCACCCGCCTTACATCTACAGATGAGGCCCGCGCCTTCTAAGAAGCAGGGGTGCTTCTAAGGAGCCTTCCCCCCTCCCCCATCCATACCCCCATCTGCGCGTGGCCGACCTTCCCTCCTCCACCCCCCTCTTCCTCACGAGGCCTCCGTCCGCAAACCGAGAACACTGGCGTCGTGACTTTTTCGTGACGTCGACCCGCAAAGATCTCGATCACTTCCCCGGGGCTTTTTTTTTATCCTGGATTAGTTTTGACGATCCCGGGGCTCGGCGGAGGCCGAAAACAGTCAAGAACCATCCGTCGTGATGTGTTCACGACGCGAGGGGTCTGGGTACCAGGGTGGAGGGAGGTTGTCCCAGAGTAGCGGGCTCTCCAGGACTGGGGCGTTCCTAGCTCACAAGGGCGAGGGCGTTGAGGCATGAGCCCAATCCGACGGCTGGCACGGTCGGCGTCCGCTGGAGAAGCACAAGTAAATCCGATGCCACCAGCGTCCAGCGCCCAGGAGGAGGAGGAGGAGTAGGAGAAGGAGAAGAAGAAGGAGCAAGAGGAGGAGGAGGAGGAGGAGGATGAGGAGGAGGAGGAGGAGGAGGAGGAGGAGGAGGAGGAGGAGGATCAGGAGGAGAAGGGAGGCGAGGCGAGGCGAGGCGCCGGTCTGTCGCCCCAGGAGGGGCGTCCCTACGAGAGCCCGTCGGGGAGGGAGGAGGGGGGGAGGGAGAAAGGAAGGGAGGGGGAGGGAGGGAGGGAGAGGGGGAGGGGACGAGGGAGGGAGGGAGGGAGAGGGAGGGAGGAGGGGAGGAGGACGAGGGATCGAAGACGCTCATGTGCAGACCCTGGCCCCCAAAGGAGCAGGTTCTGACAGCATCAGCATTGGCGGCAGCGGTACGGTATTTGTGGAAACGCGACTCTTGTACATCACCCCCCACAAACAAGCGGATCTGGCACGAGACGGTGGAAAGGGGGTTGTGTACAAATCTCCTGGGGACGCAATTCTTGCACACCACCCCGTCGAACAACAGCTGATCTGACACAAGGTACGCGCGCGCGCGGGGCGGTGGTTATAAATCTTCCCCCGAAGTAGTGCTGCAACCGCTGCCGTTTCATCCATCGCCGCGCGCTCTCTGCAGGCCGCCCCGGAGGACAGGCGGCTGTCGGCGTCGCTGCGCCCATGGATGTTACTTTGTTGTTGGGGCAGGGGTTGGCGATGCCCTCCATGTCCGCGGAGGCTTGCTCAGAATGGAGGAGGGATCCCCAGGCGACCCCCTCTGACTGCACCTGGGGAGCAAACGGATGCCGATACAGCTGCTCCCCGTGCCTCTCCAAGGGTGCGTCATGAGCAGATGTTCGACACGAGTCCAGCCGTGGCGACGAGGGCCTCCTTGGAGGCCCCCAAAAACGGAAGCGAGGGACAAGCAGCGGCATCGGCAACTACCTTTTCCTCCTCCTCCTCCTCCTCCTCCTCCTCCTCCTCCTCTCACGAATGCGTTCGGACCAGACGTTCGCGGAAGACCTCGCTCCCCTCTGAGCACGAGAGGCCCCGCCAGCTCCGCGAGGCCTCCCGCGCGAGGGGCAAAAGCGGCGAACGATGCCCCACGCGCGCGCGAGGATAAAGGGGCCCACAAACACACAAATAAATACACACAAATAAAAAGATGCCCCATACTTTACCATATTTTCTGGGTTTTTGTCTTCCCCTCCACTTCCCATATTTTCCCATATCTTCCTGGGAGTCGACGATTAATTGTGTCTGTGTGTGTTTTTTCCCCTCCTGAGAAGAGACGCGCGCGTCGGCCGGCCTGGGCTGTCCGTGCCGGTCCCCGTTCGGGGGGCGCGCGGGCTCGTCGGGGGGCCTCGCGCGCGCCCGAGGGGGGGCAGGGGAAGGCCAAATGGGTCCTCCTACTCCTCCTACTCCTCCTCCTCCTCCTCCTCCTCCTCCTCCTCCTCCTCCTCCTCCTCCTCCTCCTCCTCCTCCTCCCCTCGCGCCCAAGCACCCTCAACTCTTCGCTCCATCTTGGCGCCAAATGGGCCCCAGTGCTCTTAACCCGGCAAAGGACGGAGGGGAGGGGGGAGAGAGAGGGGAGCTGAGGAGGGGGGAGGAGATCGGAGAGCAGGTGGCAAACTCTGGATCCGCTGCATACTGCTGGCGACGGCTGGGGCGGACAAATCCTGCCCGCTAGGCGGCAACAAAGTAAGGGCAGCGCGGTGCCAGCTGACGAGCGCGGCAGATCCTGACCCCATGGGCCCCCCTGGGCCTCGCTCGTGAGGGCTTCTCTGGAGGCCGTGGGGGCCTCCTTGGAGATCCTGGGGGCCCCCTTGGGCGAAGGGCACTGCTGGCATCACCCAGAAACGATGCGGCGACAGACGGCGCGGTGACCTCGGAGCTTCCGTGGCGGCGCGCACGAGGGGGGTATAGGGGGGAGGGGGGTAAGGCGTCTTGGAAGGACGCCGCTGCTTAGAAGGCGCCGGCCCTACATCTACAGACACGGCCCGTGCCTTCGAAGAGGCCTGGGTGCTTCTAAGAGGCCGCCCCCCTTCCCCTACCCCTCTCTGCGCGTGGCCGAAGACGGCGCGGTGGCCTCGGAGCCGCCAGAGGCCTCACCGCACGGCCCGTCGCGGCACGGGCCGCTGGGACCTCGGAGGCCCCAGCGCGCCACGAGATGTCCTCGGAGGGCGCCCCGGGTCCCCAAACCCGTGCGGCCACCCCGAAGGTGGGGAAGGCCTCCTCCTGATTCTCCTCCGCCTCCTCCTCCTCCTCCTCCTCCTCCTCCTCCTCCTCCTCCTCCTCCTCCCACTTCTCCCCCATACCCCATTTTCTTCTTCTTCTCCTCCTCCTCCTCCTCCTCCTCCTCCTCCTCCTCCTCCTTCTCCTCCCTCTCCTCCCTCTACCCCTTCCTCTTCTCCTGTTCTCCTGTTCTCCTGTTCTCCTCTTCTCCTGTTCTCCTCCTCCTCCTCCCTGGACCTCTCCCGGGGTGCGTTCGGAGCAGGACGTAGAGGAGAATCCAGCCGTGGCGACGGGAGATCTCCAGGATGAGCAGTGGCATCGGTATCTTTCCGCGGACGACCTGTGTGCACCGTACCGCGTTGGCCTCTCCTGAGGCGTCGTCGATCTTCGACCCAAGCGTGGTACGGTGCATCGCGTCTCCAGCCCTCAGAAAAGAAAAACTAGGCATCGTACCGCGTTGACGCGAAACCTGAAGGGACCGTGTTGGTCCCGTAACCCCAACGGGGCTGTGTGACCCCGTGTTGGCCACGACCGCAGAGCCCTGGTGACGCGAACGATGTGGACGGCGCCACTTGCTATATAAGGGGCATGGACTCTCGATCCTCGACCCTTCGATCCTCCCGCCTTGGCCCCGATACACATGGGGGATGGGCGCCGCGCTCGTAAGCTGGTCCTCCCCCGAGTCTCCCCACCGCGCGGTGTGGCCGCCACACCGCTTGGGGGGGGGAAAGCTCCGAGCCGCGCGCGACCCAGACCCTCGACGTTATGATTTGTCATGACGCGAGCCCCAGAGGAGGTCTGGCCGGACCCACATTCCCCAGGACCGCTTTTCAGCCTGAGTCGTGTTGGACAGCCCCGAGGCCTGGTAAGGGCCCCGGAAGCCAAAAATCCGCCGACCCTGTCGGCGTGTGTGAGGGGCTTCTCCGTTCGACTCGTCGTCTCCGCCATCTCCGCTCTCCCCCTCCCAGGCCTCTCCTCCTCCAGCGCGCTATCCAAAGCGAAATCAAACGACGTCGTAGTGGACCTTCCGTCGTGATTGTTTCATGACTCGAGAGGGTCTGGATCCGAGCCGCGCGCGAGGGCTCCCCGACCACCTGACTACCTACCAGACCACCCCAACCCAACCCGAAGACCCGAATTTCGGGTTGGGAGGGGTAAGGGTTCCACATGCGTTTTTTCGATGTTTCCCGACCCCCCCCACTGGAAATCGAGGGTAAATCTGAGCCTTCGGGTTGGGTTGGGGTGGTTTGGTGGGTGGTGACCACCGGCCCGGGCGCGCATGCTTCGGGGTGCGTCGTGTTCGGGGGCTCCACGGAGGTCTCCCTCCCATAAGAGGCCCCCCAGGGGGCCCGCCGGGAGAGGGCGCAACTGGAGCGTCCAGGGAAGAACTGCTCCTCCTCCTGCTCCTCCTCCTCCTCCTCCTCCTCCTCCTCCTCCTCCTCCCCCGCCGCCCCTGGGGTTGGGGGAGATCGGTCGTCTCAGCATCGAGGAATCAGATCGGGTCTGAGCGCGCGTCGGGTCGGGCCGCGTCGGCAGGTAGTCGGAGTCGAATCGGACCGGGGTGCACCAGGGATGCACATCAGCGCCATGTAAGCATCGGGCCGCATCGGATCGACAGGGAGACATCGATATCGAATCGATCGAATCGAAAGGGGTCGAGGAACGGACGAAGCCTGTATAACTGGGAGTGTGGTGACCCCAGCCCCCGATGATGTGGACTCTCGATTGGATATAACGTGCGGGGCCCAACTCGGGGATGTAGGATCGGGGGGGAGGCTTTTCTGAGCTGTTGTTTTGTTGCGGGGGGAGTCGGGGATGGGGGGCAAGAAGTGGCCTGCGGCTATAGGTGCTACTAGTACGGGCTAACTACGCTGGCAGTGCACTAAGATCGGCCCTCACAGCCGAAGTCTTCTGGACAGGCCCGCCAGAGTGCGAGGAGGAGGAAGGAGGAGGTCAGAGCAGGTCAGAGGGAGAGAGCTCAAATCGGGGCGTGACTGTTGGGGATGACCTTTCTGAACCACCGCGAGGGGCGCAATCGCAAAGTGAGCCAGCGACGCTCAAATCCCTGATAGCCGAGCGGTTGGTGATGGCTGGTTCCCCCCCCACACGCCCCTTCTCGATGCGGCCCGTGGAGAAGCTTCGGAGGCGCGAAACGAAACGAGATCGAGGAGGAGGAGGAGGAGGAGGAGGAGGAGGAGGAGGAGGAGGAGGGAGCACCGATGATCGAGCATCGAGTTGCTTCTAGAGTTTCTTGTCCTCTGTGGCCCCGCAGAGGCCCTAAAGGAGGAAGAGGGAGGAAGGAGCAAATGAGGGGCGGAACCGACAAATGCCTGCCAGCGTGGACCCTCAATAGTGAGCTCTTGCACTCTGGGTGTGTGAACTGGCTTCGGACCTTGCCTTCGCACCGCCCTTCGCCTGTGTTGCACACGCAGACCCTGGTGCCTTGGCTCCCTGAGCTCAGCGCTTCCAGCCCACGCCCATGGCCGCCTGCCACGCCCTCTCACTGCCCGGCAGGCCCGTGCCCCGGCACACACGCACGACAAAACACGTCATGCTCCGCGCCGCTCCTCTGCGCCCCCCGTCCGCGCTCTTTGCTCTCGCGCCCGGCTGTGCCCAGTGAGGCCCCGCAATGCCCCCCCTCGGCTGCCTCCGGCCGCGGCTTGGTGCCAGGCCGCTGCGGCAACACACACGTGAGCTGGTTGATGCCAGCCATGCGGTGCTCACTGCGAGGCAGGGATTTCTCCAGATCCACCGCCTGCCTACGTCCTCGAAGACCGATCCCCAGGCGATGGGCATGGACGAATCCCTGCCTCGGACGCATGTCGATGCGTCAGGCGCATCCTTGGCCCAGTCCTCAAAGCCTCACAGACGCCAGCAGGCCGCTCACATGTTCCACCGGCGCCAGGGGCGAGAACAGACATACCTTGTTGGGCAGGGAACGACCGACCCCGCACTCATGTAGGCCTACCACGGAACGTTCACAGAGTTGAGACAAATTCAGACAGCAGAAAGCCATTCTCCTCGAGCATGAGAAGCGGATTCACGACACCAAACACTGACCCGGGCAGAAGCATTGTAAGACCATGGCGTGCAAACCCTCACGCGGTTCTCAAGACATTCCTTGGTGGACCTACATCCTGCGCAGGTCAGGAGGAGGAGGAGGAGGAGGAGGAGGAGGAGGAGGAGGAGGAGGAGGAGGAGGAGGGGGAGTAGTGAGGATGAGAGGAGGGAAGGAGGAGGAGTAGGAGGAGGATGAGTTGGGAGGAGGAGGGGAGGAGGAGGAGGAGGAGGAGGAGGAGGAGGAGGAGGAGGAGGAGGAGGATGAGGTCGGTGTGATCAGTGAGGGGAGGAGAGGAGGAGGAGGAGGAGGAGGAGGAGGAGGAGGAGGAGGAGGAGGTATGAGGGAGGAGGGGGAGGAGGGGGAGGGGGAGGGGGGGAGGAGGAGGAGGAGGAGGAGAGGAGGATGAGGAGGGGAGTAAGGAGGAGGAGGAGGAGGAGAAGGAGGAGGAGGAAGGAGGAGGAGAGGAGGAGGAGGGAGGAGGAGGAGGAGGAGGAGGGGAGGAGGAGGAGACGGAGGAGGAGGAGGAGGAGGAGAGGAGGAGAGAGGAGAGGAGGAGGAGGAGGAGGGGAGGGGGAGGAGGGGGAGGGGAGGGGGGGAGAAGGAGGAGGAGGATGAGAGCGGAGGAGGAGGAGGATGAGGAGGAGGAGGAGGAGAGGAAGGAGAGGAGAAGGAGTAGGAGGATGAAGGGAGGAGGAGGAGGAGGTAGAGGAGGAGGAGGGGGGGGAGAGAGGGGGAGGGGGAGAGGGGGAGGAGGAGGGGGAGGAGGAGGAGGAGGAGGAGGAGGAGGAGGAGGAGGAGGAGGAGGAGGAGGAGGAGGAGGAGGAGGAGGAGGAGGAGGAAGGTGAGGAGGCTGCCGCACCTTGGTCGCCAGGCCGCCAGGCTGGCCGCAGCCCGGCACCGGGTTGCCGCCGGCCGCGGGCCCGAGGTCGCGACGCGGCCACGCCAAAGGACGCGCCCACGTCCACATCGGGGGCGGCAAAGAGGGGGGCGTCCACCCTGAATTGCAAGCGGGCTACAAGCGGCAAAGACCTGGGCAGAGTGGGCTCCACACTCTGAGCCGAGTGGATCCACACACCCCTAGCGAAAGCTACGCAGGGCACGTGCAACCCGCTGGTAAACTGGGTTCTAGGCTAGATCTGGCCCACCTTGGCCTCCACGCGTAACCCCGTTATCCCCCTTCGGGAGCGGCCAAGAGGGGGGTGGTCCAAGAGGGGGGGGTGCAAATCATGACCGGCGGCACGTGCGCGGCCCCGCGGGGGGGCCAGGGGCGTCATGAAACGAGAAGAGGCGCCATGAAATCTGGGGGAATATCATGGCCACCGCCAGGATATCCACCCTCCCTAGTCATCACCCCCCTCTTTTCCGCCCACGTCCACAGGGAGTCGGGGACAGTGCCCCCCCCGGGGACCTCGCGGCGCTGGCTGTGGATGCCCTCTCCCGCCCCACAGTGCCCCCCGGGGATCTCGCGGCGCTGGGTGTGGACGCCCTCTCCCGCCCCCCCCCCCCGGGGCCTGGAGGGTATACGAAAGGGCCCCCCGGGCACACAACTGAGCAGACACACTGAATCCCAGGATCCCCCACATGTTGCGATGTTTTCGGGGGGGTCGTCTTCCCTTTTCATTCCCGTAGCTTCACATCTTTTCTCGGGGGTCGCCGATTACCTGTGTCGGCGTGCTCCCCCCCTGGTGTACGCAGCACCCCGCAGCTGCAGATACGGACGAGTGAAGGGGGCAACAGGCGCGAGGTGGGTCGCGGGGTGGCTCGCGCGAGGGATCGCGGGGGGAAGACGGCGACAACAACCGCAGACAACGAAAAAGCAGAATCTGGGCCACGGGTTCCCAAGATGTACCCCAGATGTCGTAAGAGAAGGGAGGGGGTCTGGACCCTCCAAGACAAGGCATTTCAGACCTCCCCCGTGGGAGAACCCTCCCAAACATCGTCCCCAGACCCCCCAGGCCCTCCAAGATAGCCTGGAAGAGACCCCCCTCGAAATGAGACCCCCCTCTCTTTATTACGAAATCTGGAGTATTCACGCACCCAGGGATGGTGCAAAAGAAAACCGCTTCTGCCCCCCTCGCTCCGATCTTCGTCCGCGTCCGAAGCTCCGCGAGGGCCTCGGGAGCACGTCTCGGGATCGGTGGATGCGGGCGAGCCCCTGGCGTGGAATGTGGCAAGGCGATCATGTACTTCAGACCCATCGCCGCAAAGGCACTCGCGCGCGACTTGCAGAAGGGCTCGCCAAGCATCACCCCCTCGCAGCGGGACTGCTGTGGCGACCGAGGCCCAGGCGACGCGGCGACAGGCCCATCAGCAGGTGCAATACCGAACGACATCCCATCCAAATCAAACGCGCGCGTCCACGAGTTCGCGAGGATGCCGCCACTCTTGCCCACGCCGCGTCCCAACTTCCACTTGACGAAGCCCTCCGTGCGGATCGAGGGGTCCTGGAGCACGCTGCGAATCTCCGAAGCCATCTTCCCCGGCCCTGTGGAGTCAATCTCGAAGTCCAATGCGACCAACGCACACCCGAAGAATCCGGGCTGCTTCAGCGCAGGACGACAATCCATCAGTAGCGTTGCGTTCGTTTCCTGCAGCAGCTCGGCCACTTCGTCCACGACCACGTCGTTGGTAGAAAAATGGGACGATGCCGCCAACGTGGCCTTGAACTTTTCCTTCATGGCCTCGACCTCATCCGTGGAACGCACCCACACGCTGAACCAACACTCGTAAGGCTTGATCGCCGGCATGACAAAAGGTCGGTGGACACGGTTCCAAACCTCAGGCACTACGCCCTCAAAGGGAAGCGGTGGCTCCCCGAAACCCACGGAGGGCGGGAGAAAACTCTGCTCGTACGTTGGCGCTGCCGTGCTCGCGGCGGCACCCGAAGAGGCCGTGGCGTCGGCGATCCCGTCCGCGCCGGCACCTCCCTTCGCTGAAGAGAACGCGGCACTCCACGCCAGCATGAACTGGCCAATGCTCGCCGCGTCTACCAGCGCATGGCTAACGGAGATACAGATCATGGAGGAGCGAGAGGCTGTACAACCATAAACACGTCGAGCTCCGCCGCGGATTACTTGGATGAGCGCTGGACACCCCTCCCTGGTGCGCCCAACGCGCCAGGGACGGCGCCGGAGGCGCCGGGAGACCGACGCCGAGGTGAGAGGCGCCGGAGGCGCCGCCAAGGGAGGCCTGGCGCACATCCTAGAAAAAACGAAGGACCACGAACGTTGATGTTTGTTGGGGGATCCAAAAGGCACCGATCCAAAAGGACCCCAGACTCGGCTGCGAGCAAGGGGGGGGAAAGTGAGAAGGAGAAGGCCTTCTCAGAAGGCGGCAGGACTTCTGAGAAGCCCTCGCCTTCTGAGAAGTCTTCTGTGACTTCGGGGAAGGCTTGCGAAACTTTTCCGAAGACTGGAGGACTCCCGAGCCTTCCGAGAAGGCATCCTCCTTCTCGCTTCCCCCCCTCGCTCGCCGCCGACACGCCTCTGCCGGGGTGCGCTCTGACGAAGATCTGGAGGCGAATTCGGCCGTGGCGACGAGGGCCCCCGAGGAGGCCCGACGAGGGGGAAAAGCACGAGACGGGGGCAGCGGCATGGGGGGGGTAGGGAGCCCACAAAGGACGTACGCGCCCAGCTATGTACGTGAACACGGCCCCCTTGACCCGCGAGACCTGCCGCGCGATACGAACATTCGCGCAATGCGGACTCTCGAAACCAGCGCGGATTCATGTACATGTACGTCCTTCTTTCGCTCCTGGGGGGGGCCGGGACACACAAATAAATACACACAAATAAAAATATCCCCCATATTTCCCAATATTTTCTGGGTTTCTGTGTTACCCCCCACTTCCCATATTTTCCCATATTTTCTGGGGAATCGGCGATTAACTGTGTCTGTGTGTTTTTTCCCCTCCTCAATGGGGGGGGGCCCCCTCCTTCCTCCGAGCCCGTGCAGCTCGCTCCTCCCCGCGATGAGCTGGCGCCACGCGGCGCCGCCGCCGCCCGCGCCGGCGGCCGGGGCGAAGTCGGTCACCCGCACGCGCAGGGGCGGCGCACCTGGAAGGGGCCCCAGGCCACACAAAGAAATGCACACAAACTAATATGTTCCCCATCTTTTCCCATATTTTCCCAACATTTCCCAATATTTTCCCATATTTTCTAGGTTTTTGTCTTCCCCCCCACTTCCCATAGTTTCCCATAATCTCCTGGGGATCGAGGGTTCATTGTGTCTCTGTGTTTTTGTTCCCCCTCCCGAGCACCGAGGGGGCCGCGGCCGTCGCCGCCGCGCTCGCAGGCGGCCGCGGGCACGTCGGGGGCGCATTGCTGCTCGGCTCGGGGGGCGTGGGGCTCGAGTCGGGACGACCGCCTGCCAGACCACCCCGGCCCGACCCGAAGGTTGATAATGTGGCTCCCATCGTACACGTCGGTCGGAAGAAGCACTCCAGATTTCGAAATCAAAGGGAGGGGGTCTGGGCCCTCCAAGACAAGCCATTTCAGACCTCCCCCGTGGGAGAACCTTCCAAAACATCGTCTCCAGACCCCCCAGGCCCTCCAAGATAGCCTGGAAGAGACCCCCCCCGAAATGAGACCACCCTCCCTTTATTACGAAATCTGGAAGAGGTAAAAGCATGAAGTAGGAAGGCGGATCAAGTGGATCGGGTCCAGGCCCTCCCAGAGAAGAACAGAACACAGCAACAGCAAGCCGATGATTGAAGTAGGAAGGCGCTTGAAGTAGATTGGGATGTGGGGATCCAGAAATACCCACTTTCAACGTCCGGCGTGCACTGAAGGACCACATCCGAGAAACACGTTCGGAGCACCCAGGAAAGTATCGAAGCAGTGTCGAAAGAGTATCGCCTCCCGGGGCCCGACCTCTGAGAACCCTCCGGCTTCGGTACCTTCTTCCTTGGAGCTCGACACGATTTCTGGTGATCAAGGCTCAAGTACTTTAGAACATCATCACCCGAAGGCCCGAATTTCGGGTTGGGTGGGGTACAAGCTCCATCGGAGGTCTTTCAGTGTTCCCCGGCGCCCCCCCCCGCTGGGAATGGAGGGCAGGTTGGGGCCTTCGGGCGGGCCGGGTTGGGGTGGTTCGGGGCGTGGTGAATGGAGGACGCGAGCTGGCCTGGCGTGACTGGCCTCTGACTTACCCGCCCGTCAGAAGCAGGTAGAAGTATGCAGTAGGACCGTGGATGAAGCAGGCTGGGTTCGGGCCCGCCCAGAGAATCACCAAAAAACCAGCAACGGCGTAGCGATTCTTGAAGTAGGGAGGCGCTTGACGTAGATCGAGAAATTTGAATCCCGAAGTACCTACTTCCAACGAGTGGCGTGTATGCTAAGATTGGCAAGCCCAACGACGATGGCAATCTCTGAGGGAATCATCAGAATCGGCATCGAGATAAAGTAATGCCTATCGTAGGGACGGGACTGTGCTTCAGGCTGGTAATGACGAGGCTGTCAGGGCAACGACGAGACCCAGCCTGCAGGTTGACGCGAGCTCTCGCTGCAAACATCCCACGAAAGGTGTTCCGTCGAGATCCAGGACGGGCACGTCAGAAGGCGTCGGTAAACCCGAGCTCTGCCGAACTCGAGTCTTACGATTCCCCGATCTTGTCGACCAGGTCAAAGAAGCGGGAAGGAATCGGCACCGACATGGATGGGCAGAAGAAGAGCCACCGGCATACAACCATCCCTCTGCGGAAGAATAGCGCCACAACAAAAAAATACGGAAGGCCTTCTCTGGCCACGGCGAGCCTCGACCACGAACAGGTTCCACGAACGAAACCCAAAGTGCGCGGCCCGAGAACGAGTCCCTCCCGAGCCGTTGCTCCCATCGTACTGAAGGTCCACATCTCAGAAATAATGTCGAGCACCCAGAAGAGTACCGAAGCAGTGTCGAACGAGTGTCGCCTCCCAGGGCCCGATACGTGAGAACCCTCAAGCTTCGGTACTTCCCTGGTGCTCGAAATGCTTTCTGGTGAGCAAAGCTAAACTAGACTGGAACATCATAATCATTTTCTCGCAACTTTTTCTGTAAACAGAAACTGCCGGTGCTCCGCATGGAGTCCTTGGATCGGCGCCGGGCCCGCCCGGTGGCGCCTCCGGCGCGGCCCCTGGCGCGCTGCGCGCCCCAGGGAGGGGGCCCTTCGCAGATCCAAGATTAGGTCGCCTCCCTACTGGCGGATTTAGAAATAAAAACGAAGGTAGTAGTTAAAAAATCCGGAATAGTAGAAAAAAACCATACCCAAACTATTTATATACTATTTTCGACGATTCCTCCAGTAGAGGGACATGCCCGACTAAAAACCCAAGAAGAGAAAGGCGCCGCCATCCGAAGAATGTGGCTTATCTTACAGTAGGGGCGTTGACCTAAGGAACCCTAAATAAGGAACGGGGCTCCTTTTTCCCATAAGTTCAACCTCGATTTCCGATGGAAAACCTCAGGAAAACAAAAAGGCAAACTTCGAAACAATCAAGGAACACCGAGCCCCTCCCCAACGAAAAGGGTTCCTTCTTCAGGGCCCCGACTGTATGTCGGTGGCCCCTCTTCGGCTGGAGGCTCCGAGCCTGCGGGCGCCAGCTCGTGGGTAAAGGGCACGCCCGCGTCGTTGCAGACCATGAGCAGCTGCGGCTTCTCCGGCCTTTCGGGTCGGGCGAAAGGGGGGGATAGCAAAGGGGGGGTTTGAGAATCAGCTCACGTAGCTGATTTTCCCGGCGCCTCCCGGCGCCGGAGGCGGCCATGTATCGAGGAATGGGTCCCTCGGTGAGGCCGAAACCAGCTGCATGCAGCAAACTTCGTACCCCCCCCCCCCTTTCCCAATCCCCCCCTTTCGCCCGGCCCGAGCCTTGCATCGCTTGCAGCGCTCCCGCCGGCGCAGCCGGCGGCATCAGAACGCTTCTGGAAGCGGCCGGACGCGGTGGGAAATCTCGTCAGCGTCTTCGCGAGAGCGCGCTGGAGGTCGGCCGCCGTTGGGCTCGCATCAACAGCGGCGTGCTTGAAGAGGAAGCCGCACTCCACAGTCATGGGAATCATGTTGCTGGCGCAGCTGCTCCAGACCACCTCCTTGACGGCTGTGGGCGGCGAGGGGGCCAGGCAACTGTCATCAATGTAGTCGCCTGCGCGAACAAGCTTATCAGAAACTGTCCCTGTCATCGTCTCTCCTGACTAGCAATCTCAAAACCCAAAGCCCGAAGTAGGGCAAGAGGGGGAGGCATTTACATTTACATGTTCGATACCAGGACTTTTCAGCCAAAACAGCTAAGGAAGTATGGCATCGGCGGAGATGCAGAGGCCAAGCAAACAATCTTTTTGTGCCGTTCGATTGTCCTCCCAGGTAAGTCTAGCTCCAGTGCCCATGGATGGGTGCCCCCTCAAAATCTACGTTTCTACGACCCCGCCCCCCTCATCATCATCATCATCATCATCATCATCATCATCATCATCATCATCATCATCATCATCATCATCATCATCATCATCATCATCATCATCATCATCATCATCATCATCATCCTCATCCTCATCATCATCATCATCATCCTCATCATCATCATCATCCTCCTCCTCCTCCTCATCATCATCATCATCATCATCATCATCATCGTCATCGTCATCGTCATCGTCATCGTCATCAGCATCATCATCATCATCACCACCACCACCATCATCATCATCATCATCATTACACCAGCATGATAACCTTTACCCTCAGCATCGGCAACATCATCGCCATCAACATCAACAGCAGACTCACTATCAGAACCACCAACCCCCAAACCAACAGCGTAGTAACAGCGTAGTTATCAACATCATCATCACCACCACCATCACCATCCTCAGCATCAGCGCTATCATGACCATCGTCAGCACCTACATTACATCATCATCATCATCCTCATCATCATCATCATCATCATCATCATCATCAGCCGATTCAAACTTTTACCACCATCGTCACCATCGTCATCGTCATTTTCATGATGATCATCACCACCATCACCATCATCATCACCATCACCATCATGGGTTCTCTCTTTGTAATGAAATAAGATTCCTCATTGCGATGAGCAGCAAGGGCCCCGAGGGAAATTCATGTCGGACAAAAAACGGGAAGTGAGTGAAAAAGGAGGTCAACGAAGCAGCTCCCGTGGCAGATGCTCCCGGCGCCTCCTGGCGTCGGAGACGGAAATGTATCAAGGAAGGCCCCCGGCGGCGGGGCCGAAACCAGCTGCGCGCAGCAGATTGTGTGACCCCCCCTTTACCCCTGCGCAGGCTGGAGGCCGCGCTGGTGCTCCCGTAGCGTCAGTGGCCCGCGCTGGCCCGCGGGGAAACAAGGCATGCACCATGTACCATGTCGAAGCAAGCAGAGCAAGAGAGGGACCCCCTTTCCCCCCGTTCTGGGTCCTGGACCCCAAGGGCCCCTCCACCGGGACTGGCCCTTCGGCCCCAGCCGTCTTCTGACGCCCCGGGGCCTCCCCGAAAGAGCGGCCCGCCGGGAGGCCGGTAGCTGGCAGCGACAGTCGAAGTGACAGTAGGAGCCGCAGGGCCACGTGCCGTCCATGGCGACCGCAACGTTGAAAACCGACCACGCCTACAGCGAAACCGAACGCGACCGAAATCGACGGGCCGCAAGCAGTCCAGAAGGGAGCAGCGAGCAGCAACGACACAACAACCGACCGAACCGAACGGACAGATTGCAACCGACTGCGACGCAGCCGAACCGACCGAACCGCGAACATTTTGGAGTCTGCGAACGCTAGATGGTCCAAGACAGTCACACGCCGGTCAGCAAGCGGTGGGGTGCACAGGGAGCGAATTGAGGCACCAAGGCGAAAAGGAACAGCGCACGAGGGGGGAAAATGAAGAAGCCCGCTCAAACCATGAAAGGTGGCGACCGAGACGCGAACATCCGCGAGGGCCACTTTCCTCGAGGACCCCTATAGAGGTCCTCGGAGGTCTTCGGACGTCATAGGAGGCCTCTAAAAATTTCCCGGGGCCTCCGCAGGTCCCAGGCGGCCTCTGGAAGCCCCAAAGACTGGCTTACACAGAAGTGCAGAAGAGAAAATCTCACTGACGACGACGACGACGACGGCGGCGACGACCACGAACGACGACGACGACGACGACGACGACGACGACGACGACCACAACGACAATCACCACCACCACGACGACGACAGCGACAGCGACGATCATGACCACGACGACCTCGACCACGACGACGACGACCACGACGATAGCGGCAAAATCGTCACGCCGTTCCCCTGGCGACGGTCGGAACAGAGGCTTCGGAGCCACAAGAGGGCCTCTGGAGGGCCAAACATGTTGCAAATGAAGTGGGACAACTCTGTAACCCAGACCTCCGACGATATATTATTGATCAATATTTACGTTCTTTCTGATTGGATCGGGGACGGACAACTACCCCCGACGAAGGGGCGTAGACTTCTGGAGCCGCAAATTGCCAAAGACAGATCGGCGGTCGAGGAGCCTCCGAGATCCCGACCATTTCCCGAGTACTTGTTCACGGTCCCGTGGCCTGGTGGGGCCCCACCGAAGGCCCAAACCAATCAAGGCCGTCCGCCGTGATTGAGGGGGTGGCGGAAGACAAGGACAAGGAGGAGGAGGTGGCGGAGGTCGAGGCGGAGGTGGAGGGGAGAGGAAAACGAAGAGGGAGTGGCAGAAGAAAGAGGATTAGAAGTAGGCAGAAGAGATGGACTGGAAACTCGCGGGAAACAGACAAGGCGGAAAGTGAAAAGGAGGACGAGGATGAGGATACCGATTATTCATGACGCGGACATCGGGATTATTTCATGACGCGGACATCGGGATGCTTCGACACCCTCCATGGAACCGGCTCCTCATCCCGAATCGCTGTTTGCAGTCCCTGGGACCGGCGAAGGCCCTCACTTGAATCAAAGGCGGTGGTTGCTAAGCGGAAAAGGGGTTTAAGTGGATGCTAAGATGAGTTCGACCTGGCCTAATCTAGCTTCTAATTGGTAAGAAATGCCCTAAGTGGCTTGGGTGGGTTCGCTAACTCCGCTAAGTGGGCAGAGCCAACTTCGCACAGATCGTTACCCCCCCAAGCCCTATGCTACTGGTTGGGGCATTTCTCACCCACTGACAAGACAGGTCAGGCCAGAGATGGTCCACCTCAGCATCCACGTGTAACCCCCTACGTATCCACCTGGCGACTACCAAGGTGACCCGAGCAGAACCAACAAATGGCAACAGCCGTCCGTCAGGTCTGTTCTTCATTTGGCGGCGAGCGAAGGAGAGAAGTGAGAAGGGGCGGGCCTTCTCATAAGGCTCGGAAGTCCCGCGGCCTTTTGAGAAATGTTCCAGGCCTGCCCTGAAGACGCAGAACACTTCTCGGAAGGCCCGACGCCCTCTGAGAAGCCCCGTCGCCTTCTGAGAAAGCCTTCTCCTCCTCACTTGCCCCCCTCGCTCACAGCCGATTCATAGCGCGAGGGGTGTGGGAAGAAGGTAGACGCGCTCCCGCGCCGCAGCCAGCCTTCTGTTAGGCGTCTTGGGGGGGGGGGGCTTGCCGGCCCCGTCGCGCCGCTATATCCGTGTCGCCTCCGCGTCGACTCCGCGTTTCGGACTCGTCGAATCCGCGCCGAATCCGCGCCAAATCCGCGTCGAATCCGCGCCAAATCCGCGTCGGAACCGCGTCCGAATCCGCGTCGAGTCCGCGTCGAGTCCGCATCGAGTCCGCGCCACTACCCACGTCGAATCCATGTCGGACTCGCTGAGTCCGCGTCAAATCCGCGCCCAATCCGTGTCGAGTCCGCATCGAGCCCGCGTCGGGCACAAGAACAGACACCTTCTGCGGCAACTCATGGGGGCCTCCCAGGCCATCTTGCTGGCTTCTGTGAACCGACGCTGGTCGACGCTGATGCACGCTGAATCGACGCTCATCGACGTTAAATCGACCCCAAATGGGCGATTTGTGTCGACTGCTGATGCACGTTGAAGAGGTAGATGCGAGGACATACAAAAAGCTCCCATAATTTGCTGCCGAAGGCACCCGTCTTGGGGTCGGACGACCGCGACGTCCTCCTTGCGCCGCGCTGAAGAAGAGGCCTCCTAGACAGGGTCCGACCAGATGGCGACCGAGGATCGCGCAATATCGCCACTGCATCGGCGATGCATCGGCGACGCCAGCAACGCATCCTCGAGCCGCATCGCCGATGCTGAAGGGGCCCTGGGACACACAAATAAATACACACAAATAAAAGTATTCCCCATATTTCCTCATATTTTCTTGGTTCTTGTCTTCGCCCCCACTCCCCATATTTTCCAATATTCTCCTGGGAATCAGCGATTAATTGTGTCTGTGTGTTTTTTCCCCTCCTTAGATGCATCGTCGACATGCGGAGAGGATCCTTCGAACCCACCCGCGGTAAGCTCGCGGCGCCTCGAAACCCCGGCGATGGCTCCTGACGCCGCGGGGATCGTTCAGCCTTGAGCGATCGGCCATTTCCGAAACGCAAGGCGGGATGACGATGAATAAAAAAAACTGGAGAGAACGATTAAACAAATAGCTCTCTGCTGGAGAACGATTAAAGAAATAGTTCTCTGCTGTTTATGCACAATTTTCTGACTGGAAGAGAACGATTCAAGAAATAGTTCTCTGCTGTTTATGCACAATTTTCTGACTGGAAGAGAACGATTCAAGAAATATTTTTCCAGCCCGCGGCCGGTTTTTTCTAATCGTCATCCCGGGCGCCGCCGCGTGAACACGACCCCCGGTCATATATTAATCGTCATCCTCCATTACGGTAAGTTCGCGGCGTCTCGACCCCGGCGTTGGTTCCTAACGCCGCGGGGATCGTTCAACCTTGAGCGATCGGCCCCGGTGCTGGGTCGCTGGCGGTGTTCAACGCTGAGCGCCGGCGGCGGGGTCGCCGACGGTCGACAAGACGCGAACCTACCGCACTCCAGATTCCGTAACAAAGGGAGGGGGGCCTCCTTTCGGGGGGGGGGTCTCTTCCGGGCTATCTTGTAGGGCCTGGGGGGTCTGAGGACGATGTTTTGGAGGGTTCTCCCACGGGGGAGGTCTGAAGTGGCTTGTCTTGGAGGGTCCAGACCCCCTCCCTTTTATTACGAAATCTGGAGTACAATCGGGATGTTGCAATACGGAACGCCACAGAGGAAACGAGGCCCCGCACCAGACGAGCTTGGGTGCACGAGGAGGGCTAAAGGAACAGCCACGGAATGACACGAGGAACAGCGAGCCCCTTCCGAACCCAAAGCGGTCCGCATTTCAGCGTCTTTGGGGGAACCAACAGGTGCCGATCCCGCTACTCCCCAGACCTCTCCTGGTCGGAGCGAATGAAGTGGTGACGACGAGGGCCTCTCCAAAAGCCCCCAAATGCGAAAACGAGGGAAAGGTGGCGGTGTCGACACGTTGTCCTCCTCCGAGTCTTGACTGCACTCGGGCCCCATCTGGGAGGCCTCGACGAAAAGCGGAGCGGGTCGAGGCGGGATGGGGCGTCGGTGCACGCTGACCGACGCTACCCGAGCTCGAGATCTAGGTGGACGGGCGGTGGGGAGCCTTCGATGGTTAGCGTGCCTCCTCAGAGTGGACCGACGAGGGGAAAAATGCACGCTATCTTGCCATACCTGGTCGGGCGCTGCTCAATCGGCGGTGGACAAACCTCCCTTTAATAGACCTCCCCTTAGTGACAACAGCCTGGGGCCGAAACCGACGGACCTGGACCCGCAAAAATGACGGCCGCGACGCCCTCTCGCGAACCGAAAACGGCCAATTCCTCAATCGACGTGTCAGGGTAGGAGGTCTACCCACCTCCGACTCAAGGCGCCCCTGGCCCCATGAGCCCCAAACTCTCCGGTGAACTCTGGATATAGCCCCCGGGGGCCCCCCCGGCGCCTCGTGCGCGGTGCTCTGGAGGCCCCCGGGGGTCCTCCTTGGAACTCCTGGGCTGGCCATCGCTCGGACGTCCATTCCCTGTGTTTTTTTTCGGATTCGTGCGTGGTCTTTTCGCCGGATGATCCAGGATGCTCCTCGATGGTCCTCGCCGAAGGAAACATGCACACGTCCGAGCGGTGCCAAGTGGGGGCGCCTTCAGGCCAAGGTCAGCGGGGGAGCGATCAATCTGGGGGGGGTCCGCGAGGGCTGCAGAGCAGGGGCCCATTCGGGGCCCCGGGAGGGGGCCCTGAAGGGCCCAGGCGGAGGCCTTGCGGGCCCGGGTGGGGCACGAAGCGAAGACGAGGATCCATCAGGTACGGATAAGTCGAAAAGCGCTAAGGTCTGGCCGACCTGGAAGATGTCTCGAGCGCCGCGGCCTCCTCAGAGCGTTACGAAACGCTCCGAGAAGGTTCTGGAACGCTCTGGAACGGATTTATCGGTCCCTTTCTAGGGTCTCTGAAAGAGCTCTTTAAGGCCCAGAAGGGAGGCTTTCGGGCCCGAAAAGGCACCCATCCCCCACCCAGTGTACCGCCCCTCCATCTTGCTATCGCTGGGACGTCCATCACCCGTGCATTTGTCGGCATCGTGCGTCTGTTTTCGCTCAATGCTCAGGATGTTCCTCGAGGGTCCTCGCCGAAACACAGCGCACACGACCGAGCGATGCCAAACCATTACTTCGCGCCCAACGCCTTGGGCCAGGGGCCTTTCCGGCCAGCGCCCGGCCAGGCCGCAGGCGCAACGAAAAAGCAGGCCGAGGAGGGGCGGCTGGGCCCCTGCTGCCACGGCTCCGGCGCCGCTGCGCGAGCCGCCCTGCGGGCCGAGTGGCGGCGGGCGCGCAACAAATGCTCCTCCTCCCTCCTCCTCCTCCTCCTCCTCCTCCTCCTCCTCCTCCTCCTCCTCGCTCTTCCTCCTCCTCCTCCTCCTCCTCGCTCCTCCTCCTCCTTCGCCCTCCTCCTCCTCCTCGTTCCTCCCTCCTCGTCCTCCTCCTCGTCCTCCTCCTCCTCGTCCTCCTCCTCCTCCTCCTCCTCCTCCTCCTCCTCCTCCTCCTCCTCCTCCTACTCCTCCTCCTCCTCCTCCTCGCTCACCCTCCTTCTCCTCACCCCTCCTCCTCATCCTCCTCCTCCTTCTCCTCGCTCGCTCCTCCTCGTCTTCGCTCGCTCCTTCTCCTCCTCCTCCTCCTCCTCTGCCGCCGTCTCCTGCTCTAGCCCCATTCGTCGCGGCCTTGCAGGCACCCCACGCAAAGCAGTTCCCGCCCCCAGGGCACCCTTCATGTCATGCCAGCGCGGCTGGCCATCCATATTTCTTCTCTTGCGATATTTTGGATGACATTCCTGAGCTGGGGTGTGTATAACCCGCTCAGCACGGTCGCGCCACCGAGAAGCTTGGAGATGTCGAGACAATTCAGCGCAGTCGACGTCATCACGTTACCAGCCACTCGTTGGAGGCAGCACGCCCCCACCAGCCCCGTCGACCAGCTCCAGACCTACCAGCACCGCATCGTCACGAGGGGCTACGGCAGTGGCCCTTTCACCAACAATCAAGCGGGCGTGGCCAGCACGATCAGCAACCGCTACCGCATCAAGTGTGTGACCGCGCTCCCCAGCCCGCCGCCGAGCATTCATTCAAGGACGCGCAGGAGAAGTTCCCCTTCGTCGAGGAGGACTCGACACGAATTTCATTGTTGCGCCTCTACCTCCACGGTCACGGCTCGCCAAGCACCACAACGCTCGGGTCAAGACGCTCAACGAGACGCTCAAGTGGATCAACAAGACCCAGCACGAGACGCCCACCAGGAGCACGCCGATCATCGGCCTCGACCTGAACGACCACTACGGACAGGACGGATTGCTTCCCGCCACGCCCAGCAACGTGATCGGCGACGCAGGCCCTACAGGAGTACCTGGAGAGGCAACCGCTGCCTTCCACTACATGCTCGACGTGCTCGGCAGGTGCATCCTGAACATTCTCCGGAACGCGGGGCCCACGTACATCGGAACCCAAGGACAGGCCACACGTCCCGACTACATTGCAGTGCCTCACGGTCTATGCTCCCACACTACTTCTTGCAGAGTCTGGTGGCGAACGATCAAGGCACCTCAACTCATCAATGACAACGTGCCGCGCGACCTTGTCCTACCGAATGCAGCCGCCAACGTCATAATCCCGAACGTGTTCACAGATCTAAGGAGGACCGCCTGGGACTACGACAAGATGGCCCTGGCCCTGCAGAAGGGCAAGTACCGCAAGGAGTTCAATGACGCGCAGGAGTCCAACCTCGGCAAGCACCAGGACAAGCTGAAGAGGTTGGTCGGGGACTACACAGTGGACGAACACGGGGAGCTCATCGTGAACATCATGAAGGAGGCAGCCAAGCCCTTCTTCGAGCGCCAGAAGTCCAAGCTAGACCAATACTACCAGCTCATGGAGGAACGTCTGCGGCTACTCCAGGCGCGCGCCAAGCTCAGAGAGGAGTACATCGGGACCGACCCCAACTACGAGATCGAGTACCAGATCGAGGTCCTCTCACGTGCCCTCAAGAAGCAGAAACGCCAGCACGAAGCACGACGACAACACCTAGAGGAGCGCATCTACGAGGCTTGGCAACGACGAGAACACGCTGAAGTACATCAACTGTCTCGACTCATGGCCGGCACCAGATACGGCAAGCGCAACCGCAACTACAGCCGCGCGACCAGAGCACGCCCCAGCTTGCAGGAGTGGGCAGACCACATTGCAGCATACGGCCAGCACGGAGGGTTTAGCGCTCACCAGATCGACCTCGAGGAGGAGAAGCGCATCTTGAAAGAGACCACCCACGAGTTCACCACCGTGCACAACCTACAAGTTCGCCACGAATACGAAGACGCCAAGGACGGCATCAAGCGAGCACTCTACGGCGTCACCAAGCGGCTCAAGTACTTCAAGAAGCGCGCCTCCGTGCCAGACTGGTCACTGCCCGCCGAGATCTTCCAGACGACCTTCCAGCCCACCTACATCACAAAGCAGAAGCCAAAGACGACAGGCGTGGGCTACGATGATGCACTCGCTGAGGCACCCCTCGAGCAGGAGAGCTTCGAGTCAGTCCTCAACCACGCGTACCGCGTCGGCTTCGCCCCACTCAACGCCCACCACAGCCAGAGCTTCACCCTCGACAAGAAGAGCGGCAAGCCTAAGGTCCTCGGCTTGCGCACACTCCACATGCTGCGCCCCTTCTGGCGCCGCTTCTACAGACAGCTTCAGTGCAAGTCCAAGCCGTGGTCACCTCCACTTCATGCTCACGGCTGCTGGCATCATCGGCGTCGCGAAGTCCCCATACGACGCCAACAACGAGGAGGAGAAGCCTACCAGACCAAGTGCGACCCCAAGCTGAAGAAGTTGATCACGGTGATGATCAAGCAAGTGCTGGCCAACACTCAGCAGATTGTCTGGGTCGTTTCCGCGGTCTACAGCACGTATCCGATGCCGACTCAGACCAAGGTGCTCAAGGCGCTCCGAGCCCGCAGGGAGATCTACGCGGACAAGTGCATGGAGGCGGGCAAGGGACATTCGCTTATTTCGACCCTCTGCTCCGAGGACGTGGGCGCCAAGACCAAGAGCACTCTCACAGAGCACGGGAAGTTCGTGGACCAGCTCAACGTGGCGACAGACCTCAACAAAGTGAAGCACCTGAAGATCAGCAAGTGCTACGACAGCAACCAGGCGAAGATCACACTGTATATCGAGCAGGGGCCCTGGACCGACGCGGAGGCCGAGGAGGATCCTCAAGAGGAGCAGAAGCAGCAGAGCAACACCAAGGACAGCACCCACAGAGCGCTGATCCAAGTGGGAACTACGGTGAAGACGGGCAAACCACCAGCGGGAGTCATGGAGGACGAGCTGGCTGCGTGGTGGGCAGGGCTATGACTACGAGTATGAGAATATGGATGGCCGACACGACTACGCCTCGCTCGGCAAGGTGATCGGCGTGCGTGGCGCTGTGATCACAATGAAGGTGCCGCTCTGAGCGGCGACGGCGGGGGCCCATCCTTGCGGCCGAATGCACTGCCTTGCCCCCCTTATGCCGCTCTATCTACCTCCTCCTCCTCCTCCTCCTCCTCGTTCTCGCTCATCCTCCTTCTCCACGCTGCTCCTCATCCTGCTTCCTCGCCCTCCTCCTTCTCCTCGCTCACTCCTCCTCCTCCTCCTCCTCCTCGCTGCTTCGCTGCTGCTCCTCCTCCTCCTCCTCCTCCTCCTCCTCCTCCTC